GGAATGTATTAACTAGGTTAATACATATTAACTACAACGTTGCAGCCAGTTCCAATCTCAGCAGACCATCTCATGACGTCACAGCGCGCTACGATTGCATAGCGGATTTGAGCGGAAGGTCGTCGTCATAGCCATCCATGAAATTGGAACCGTTGCAGGTCAGATTATTATTGCGAGCTTGAAATGGGTCCAGTGAATATCGATCGTGTAGGAGTTATTGATCGTTAGCTCGGATCGCTCGTAAGAGTTCCATGAATGAGAAATATACTCCGGATATGCAAATCGAGCAGCCTAAGCCAATAATCATCTGGTCAAAACGACGGTCTCTATTGACCATTTTCTCGCCGCGAATATGCAAATGGAAGAGTGCTGGCCAGATAAATGATAGCATCGTGCCTGAAATATCTCTATTTAATCATTTTAGGTAAACTCGTTCAGATTCAAACGTTGTAGCACAAGTCCTAAGCCATACCATTTTTTTTCACCAATGGGTTTTATTGCGGCATTTTTTATAGCCAGCTCGGCTCGTTGTCCCTCCTTTGAGACCAGAGGCTCCATAAGGGTGGCGTAAGGAAGCAGTTCCACCAATGCAGGCCGGTAGCGCGGGTGCCGCGCGCACAATGCCGTGGCACCCGCGCTATCGGCCCGCCGCGTGCGACATTTCCACGAGCGGTCGCGTCGCGCGGTGACCTGGTTTCGCTACGAAAATATTCAAAACTCCCCCAGTTCCATACTTGTGGCTGAACATCTGTCCTCCCCAGTAAAAAAATATTGAACGCACCAGTGATATTTCCGATAAGTCCCATCAATTCGATGAGATACGGTACCGATAGTGCGATGAAAAGTGTGAATAAAAGCAGGAGAATGCGTAAGAAAAGCGCCCATTCACGAAGTGATCCATCAGGACTGTAGCATCTGAAAGTAGGAGAGATTTTACGACATTTTTTACAAGTAAACTTTTTTGTCAATAAATTTTTGTAAATAAACTGGGTTCTGATTCAGATGAAATGGGCTTAATAGGTACACGCCATTATGGGAAATATCCCATTTATTTGGTGCTCAGGTTTCTCAATTGGAGGGCTTATAATCTACCCTCCCTTCAAAAAGCGAGAAAGTGTCGGGTGCAGACCATGCACCACAAGTGACGACGGCCTTCACAAAATGTTAATGTTTTCTGCCAATGAAATGATTAGCCTGTTGCAGTTGTATTCTATCGATTGTCACTAATTACAACTATCATTTACCAGAAATCAGCTATCACTATGAACAACTTCTAACCAGATTTACTTGGAGGCCGTCGTCAGTTGTGGTGTTTGGTCTGCACCCGACACTTTCTCGCTTTTTGAAGGGGAGGTTAAATCTTTCCCTTCTACACCGAGGAAGTAGAGTAGAGTTTCTATCCAGAGCCTAAAACTATACCGTAATCGGATGTGTGGCGTAGTATCGTTCCGCGTTGTAGTCTGCCTAGGTGCGCGGTACCACTAGTAAGGCCCTATGCTAGATAAGATTCTTTTGGCCAAAGCCCAGTACACCTTCTTTGAGTGGCTGTGACCACTTCTGCCAGAGAATTTCTCTAAATCTTACTATCTGTGACTATCTCGATAATAACTTAAAGGCACATTCCACGATTGAGTAGTTGCATGTTATTGTGTCTGGGGAACGTAAGTGGTCGTGGTGATTGTTTCATCCGCAATGGAAGAAGTAGCAAAAACTGCCAAGTGTCTGGAACCACACTGCGCATTAATCTTATGGGCGGAGTTTGTGCTCCGCCCTCTCAAGGCTCTCATTTGTTGATTTTATCTCTGCACGCTTAATCTCTTTACTGTATTTTACAATATTGTGAGCAACGGTCAATCAATGCAACACCCGTAGGGGCGGGACGCAAACCCCGCCCATACGATCAGCGCACAGTGTGATTTCAACGATGCAGTGCACGCGGTGCATTTCGCGTGTCCTTTGAGAGCCAGACCGTGCTTGTAGGTGCTGCCTAGTTGCCTCAGCAAGACGATGCATCCTTCAGTACTTGCCGCGAAGTTTCGCACTGCGACTGATTGCGACGTCGCGTGGTGACTACTCCCATGCCGCGTGATGTCTTCTTCATACACGCTCCGAAATGGGTCCCGATTGGCAAGTAGCGGTTATCGGAATGTTCAGAATTGCACCCAACCCGTGTGCCAATACCCGTCATTTTTGTCACCGGGATGCTAGCCATGGGCTAGAGTCAGATCAGAGCTAAATTATGTGTATAAATTAGTTTCATATATAGGCTATGAGAGCGCCAAGACAAAGGTCACGTACCCTGTGAATGGCGTGGTTTTGGTGCCACGAAATAGATTGTCCTTGAGCAATTGTACCGCCGCGTAGAAGGGCAACGGATATGAGAGAAGCGCCTTGATGACAAGGACCAGATTGACGACCACTTTGAAGCTTTGATTGGGTAATGAGTTGGAGATCTCCGGCTAAAAATGCAGCATTGATTGGGCATCGCTTGTGGGGAAGCCACGCCCACTGGGAAACATGCCCGACCTGTGTCAGTTCGCCGAATGTCAGGTATCCGAATAGACCAAATATCGCTTTGAACAAGGCGGCGGCTACGTGAGACCATTTCAACATCCATTTGAACTCTTTCGGTTCCTGAAATGACGTTGTTAAGCTTTTTACAACACTGTCCCATAAATCTGGCACCAATCAATAAGTCAGTAATTCCTGCCTTCATGTTTCCTTCAAGGTTTGGTAAGAAGATGTGCGATGTATAGCCAAACACGACCACACCAATCATTGTTGGCAGGGTGTTGATGTCCAGGGCAAAAGTCACCGAAGAGAATGACCATGAACGGATCTGAACTCACTGTTTTGTACGGCATCGATCAATACTCATGAAATACACGGACCCACCTCTGTCAAGCAGTATATCATCATGATAGCGTTCACAATCAGGTGAGAGATGGCGTTGGCGAATGAGAGCTGTGAGACGACGATAAGTGAATCGAGAAATGCGCACGCCAGCAATATGGCAGAGACCAGCATCATCCATGCTGGCTTGTCTGGATGAAAAATAATGAAATTGCAAAAATTCGAGAAAGAAATAAAAAGTTGGGTGGGCAGAGTCAACCCTGCGTTGCGCAGTTCTCAACGGCCACGTTGCGCAGTTTCGCCCGATTAGACACGTTCTCTCGCGCGAACATTCACACTCGCATGCTCGAGCCGTCTGTGTCTCCGCCCATACAGCGTGCGTTGAGGATCTCTCAACGTGCCGTTGCGAACTGCGCAACGCAGGGTTGACTCTGCTGAGTGGACCGAATATT